GCCGTTTGGGGTGGTTGGGGACAGTTAGGATCGATAAGAGGTTGTTAGGGGCGGTTGGGGAGAGTTAGGGGCGGTTGGGGACATTTAGGGGCAGCTAGGGGCGGTCGGGGACAGTTAGGGGTGGTTAGGGGAGGGTGGGTCACAAGTGTGGGTTATGGGTGGGTGCATACAATTGTGAGTGGGTAGGGGTGGGTAGGGGTGAAAAAAAAAATTGGCTGGGTACGGTACAGGTGGTTAACAAAAGGTTTGGGTGTAGGTGGCCATAGGTAGTTTTGAAACAGAAAGACCATGGGCAGTTATGGGCAGTCACAGTCTGAAGGGGTTCAGGTAGGGCAGGTGCGGGTACACTTCTTTTTTTTTTAGCAGGTAAGGATGGGTAAAGGTCCGGTAGGCCATCTATACAGTGGGTATGGGTGGTTAGTTTTCAAAGAGGGTATGGGTGGTTAGTTTTCAAAGAGGGTATGGGTGGTTAGTTTTCAAAGAGGTATGGGTAGGTAAGGTACAGGTATTCCAAAAAATCCCAGTTGCCACCTCTGGCAGGTACCAAGACAGCGTTCGGACCAAGTGGAAGTCTGCAACTGTATGAGATCCAGGCCGTCGGCTGTGAGTCAATCTGAGCCACCGTGGGTGGGAGACCTGACGCCAGTCAACCTCGTCAAACACTACATAAGGCTTGGCCTCCAGGGAGCCAATATTCAGTCTTGTTATGCTGACTTGACGCTGGCTTGACGCTGGCTTGACGCTGGCTTGATGCTGGCTTGATGCTGGCTGGACGCTGGCTGGACGCTGGCACTGTGTACAACGACGCGAGACTGCTGCTTGCTTGCTGGCGCCTTCCTGTCTTGGCGCCAGCCTCTGCTGACGTGGTGCAAGCCAGCCTGTCTTCGACATTGCTGAGGTGGCGCATGCCACTGTCTTCTTTGCCGATGTGGCATATGCCACATCTAATAACCCTAATAAAACTTAGTAGGCCGCGGGGCGACTCTCGCTTCTGCAATGGTCCACGTTAGTGTTTTTTGCATCGCATAGCGTGAGACGTCCGATGTAAAATTCTGACGCGCGATTGTTTTCATCGTGAATCTTGAGACGTCCGATGTAAAATTCTGACGCGCCTGACGCGTTTGTCTTGTTTCGGGCGAGCGTTTCGTTTTGTTTTTTGAGTTTTTGATTTCTTTTATCGTTGCTTTTGGAAAAGAGGTCGGGCGTTCGAATCCTTTAACGTAGCCTGTAGTGGCCATCGAGTGGCGGTTTCCGAGTTGCGGTGATTTTTGTTTATTGTTTTTAGTTGTGATTTTTGTTTATTGTTTTTAGTTGTGATTTTTGTTTATTGTTTTTAGTTTTCTTTTCTTTTGTCTGACGCGCCTGACGCGGCGGGCCTGACACTTTGTTTTGTCTCTCTCTCTCTCTCTCACACACACACACGCACACACACACACACACACACATACACGCACCA